TTCCAGTGTTGGGGCTTTCACAACTTCTGCAGGCAAGTTGTTCCACTTATTAATTGTTCTAACTGTCAGGAAGTTTCTCCTTAGTTCTAAATTGCTTCTCTCCTTGATTAGTTTCCACCCATTGCTTCTTGTTCTACCCTCAGGTGCTTTGAAGAATAGTTTGACTCCCTTTTCTTTGTGGCAACCCCTGAGATATTGGAACACTGCTATCATGTCTCCTCTAGTCCTTCTCTTCATCAAACTAGACATACCCAGTTCCAGCAACTGTTCTTTATATGTTTTAGTCTCCTCTGCTTGTCAGAAGGTCACAAAAAGTGATCACATGGCCTTGGGACACAGAAACCATCATAAGTAAAACGGGCCTACCATACCCACTGTGCCATCATGTGCTAAAAGTGGGGGGGGGCGTACGCACATGCGCAGGGGCAGGGTGCATTGAATTATGGGTGTGGGCACACACGTGGGCAACCTCCCCATGCTCCCCCCGCTTTTGGCACGCGACGGCAAAGAGGTTAGCCATCACTGTTCTAGAGTCTCACATCTTTTTTACATTGTGGTGACGAAAATTGGATGCAGTATTCCAAGTGTGGCCTTACCAAGGCATAATAAAGTGGTATTAACACTTCACGTGATCTTGATTCTATCCCTCTGTTTATGCAGCCTAGAACTGTGTTGGCTTTTTTGGCAGCTGCTGCACACTGCTGGCTGATATCTAAATGGTTGTCCACTAGATCTATTATAAAAAAGGACTTTACTGTACAAAGTACTTTCCGACTGCCTAATATCACAGTTAATGGAGGTTTTGAAACAGAAATAATGGATGGTGCCTTGGCAGGTCACTGTTTAATACTTATTTAATTTTTCACATTTTGAATCACTCCCCTCCCTCAGAAAGAGAGTTATCCTATTACAGAACTGAAAGGATTACTTGGCAGCAGTGAATATAGGGGGACGACCTCAAGAACCAATATAGCAGTAACAGCATCATAATTGAAATTTTACTCTTTTGTGCCTGGGTGTAATGTCAAGGGATAGATAAAAGCAACAGTATTTCGATCAAAATGCCATAACCACCATCCTGGATGTTTTAATCTTTCTACCTGTTCTTGGTATTTCCTCCACATTATTAGTGTTCAAGGTTGGCAGATGTGAAGGCAATCCAAGATCAGTTTCAGATTGCATTGTAAGGAATTGGAAAATAGAAATGAAATAAAAAACTCTGTAGTGTTGAAGCATTCCAAAATGTTGGGCAAAAGAGTCACCTTTATTTCTTCCAGAACAGGATAAAACAATTTTCATAGATGGGTACAAGGATTCCTGCTACTGATATTTCCAACCAACAAAATTGACTAGCAATGAACAGAATTTGGTATTCTGATAAAGTACAGATAATCCTCGATTTACAACGTTTTGTGACCGTTCAAAGTTACCACGGCACAGAAAAAAGTGACATATGACTGTTTTTCATCCTTACATATCGCTGCAGCATCCCCAGAGTCATTTGATCAAAATTCAGATGCTGGGCAACTGACTCCTATTTGTGATGGTTGCAGTGTCTCTGTGTTACATGACATGATCTCCTTTTGTGACCTTTCGACAAGCAAAGTCAATGGGGAGGCCAGATTCACTTAACAACCGTGTTATAATTTAACAACTGCAGTGATTCACTTAACGACTCTGGCAAGAATGGCCGTAGAATGGGGCAAAATCTGCTGTTTTGCTTAGCAGCAGAAATGTTGGGCTCAGTTGTGGTCATAAGTCGAGGGCTACCTGTTACCCCAGAATTCCAGGTTGGGCAGGTTTTCTTTTTTCTTTTCTGACTTGGATTATAGTCAGAGAGGAAAAAGAGTTCTCACAAATTTCCTCATTTAGCTGCAGCGGTGAGGTTGGAAAAACAGAAGGCACCATGGGGAAGTTGGCACCGCGTGCTGTGCCATGATATTTGTATAAAAACAGACTGGGTTAAAAAAAAAAAGGATAGAAATCAATGGTCTTTCTTGTCAATATCAGTGTTTGGACAGAAGCAGCTGTGGCTGCTATTACAGTAGCATGTCAGTAGGGTTCAAACCTCATTTCTAAGACATTTCTCCATTTTGGGAGGGCGACATGAAATACAGCTCATTTGTGTTCAGTTCTGAATGTATACCTTTTCTTTCCCCAGTTGTTAATTCATACTTATGTTAAAACCAAGTAAGTTTGCTGCCTAAGTAATCCTCTGGCTTGTGCAGGAAACAGATATGAAAATGCCGAGTTCCTTTAAAAGGGCAATTGCCAGCTTACACGTATAGTACAGTCTCTCCCTCTCTTGGCTCAAAGATCCACCAGAAAAGTGAACAGGATCAGGGGTGGGATTCAAAGATTTTAGCAACCGGTTCTCTGCCCGGTTGCTGGGTGGGCATGGCTATGGTGGATGTGGCCTACTCGGCCTCCTGCATCACAGCGGGGGTGGCGATGATTTCACCCTCCCCAGATCTGGAGGCTTTTCTTGAGCCTCCAGGAGGGTGAAAACGGCTTCCCCTGGGCTCCGGAGGCCCTCCGGAGACTGGAAAGGGGCTCGTTTCTGGACTTCTGGGAGGCCCATTTTTCATCCTCCCAGATACCTCTGTGTGGGCGCTGCACTTACCTGGCATCCAAAATGGGCTACGTGGAGACTCCTGGGAGGGGTGGGGTGGGGTGGGGTAGGCGGAGTCAGCCAGTCCTTGCAACTACTGGTCCGGTGAATCAGATTAAAATTAACATCCAGTTCTCCTGAACCAGTTTTAACCGGCTGAATCCCACCCCTGAACAGGATTAAATAAATCATTATACATTTTTGAAATGCTGGTGTCTGTGAGTCCTCTCTAAAAATGGTACTTAACTAGATGTCAAACACCAGCCAGAAGAGTTCTTAAATTATTCATCATGTTTTGGAAGTGAGATGTTTCAGAAATGCGTCTGCTTAGGCTGCCATAAAAACAATGAAGCATTACATTTGTTTGGCTACCTGTTGAATTTTTGTAATGGAGGTATGTCACCTTAGAGGTATTTAACCACTACTGTAACTGGGACCGTCATAGATTGGGAAATATTTTATTTTCTATCTTGAAGATGCCATAAGGAAGAAGAAGATAATTGGGGTGTGATAACATAAGAATCAAAAGCTTCAGTCTTTCCTAAGTTCTTCAACTCTCAGCTAAATTTCCTCTTCTTTGTCTTTCTGCTATCAAGGTTTGACTCTAAACTATCATGCACTGAAAAGTGCAGTTTATGTGGGGAGGATTTGTTTTTAACAGACAATGATTTTGATACTGATACTGAACTGATTTTTGTTTTAACATCGTGTGTTAACTGCTTTAAACTCCATTTATAGCAGAAAGCTATCAAATTAAAATGGGGGGATGGGGGAAAATTTGTTAGTACTGATCTTTGTAATATGTAGTTGGACCCACTCAGTTAACAAGCACCTACTTCCCTGTTCAGTTAACATTTGAGCAAAGAGTATAGATAATCCTTGATTTACAATAGTTTGTTTAGTGACTGTTCAAAAGAACAACAGCATGGAAAAATTTACCGTTGTAGTATCCCCATGGTGTAGGTCAGAGGCCTGCAACCTTAAACACTCAAAGAGCCATTTGGACCCATTTCCCACAGAAAAGAAAACATTGGGAGCCACAAAACCCTTCCCGTCCCTGACTATTTCTTGAGCAGCCACAAAACTAGCATGTGTAGTTGAATTAAATGTTCTGCTTTCTTCTCAAACTTTTCTTTTCTTGGATTTATCCATGGTTGGCCTACCAGGGGTTGAAAAGCTGAATAAATTGTGTGGGTGTCACACATTGGCAGTTGTGACGCATATTTTGAGTTACAGGGAGCCACAGCAGAGGGGTGAAAGAGCCACATGCGGCTCCAGAGCCGCAAGTTGCTGACCCCTGGTGTAGGTGATTAAAATTCAGATGCTTGGGCAACTGACTCATATCTATGATGGTTGCAGTGTCCTGGGGTCATGTGATCACCTTTTGTGACCTTCTGACCAGCAAAGTCAATGGGGAAGCCACTTAACAATTGTGTTACTAACTTAACAACTGCAGTGACTCACTTAACAACTGTGGCAAATGGAGCAAAACTCACTTAAAAATGTCTGATCTAGCAGCATAAACTTTGGGCTCAATTGTGGTCGTAGGACTATCTGTACAACATCCTAAAATCATAATTGGTTTGTTTTCTTAGCTGCAATCAGGGATGTTGTTTTGACTGTATTCATATGTCAGATGAAAATATGGCCTCAACAAAGTTTACAGCTTGATTATAAAGACTTCAAGAAATTACATTTCATGTGTTTTCTCAATACACCATGGCTTCGTCTGATAACACCAGGTGGTTCAGCTTGAAGAGATGCTTTTTCTTCCCTGTTCAACTTTGTTGTGTCTGGATTTTGATTCAGTCGGGGGGGGAAACCTTGAAGTTTCCATATTCGCAGAAGGAAAGGAAGATTGTAAACTGCCAACATTTCTTCTTATTACGTCAATGCATCACAGAGTTTAATCTCTATTTCCACCTCCCTCCAAATCTTGCTTTAATCCCCAGGTAAATTTTAAGCAGACGGCATCTCTGCTTTGTCCATTAAAAACCTGACTGAATTTGAAAAGCTTGCAAAGTGCACGGGAGGGAAGAGGGGAGGGGGTGGGCTTCAAAGTGCTGTTCAACTGTTGAGAATCTACCCATATTGCCCAGGGGGTATGAGGGAAGTCTGGTTGGCCTCCATTCATTACTAAGCAGCTACTCCAGACATTTCACTGGTGACTATTTTGTTATCTCTGGCCAAGGCCTGGAAAGCAAACAAGGGGAGGAGGAGGGCCACGTAAATTAGGCACGGAGGTTTGAACTCTGTGGGATTTCCTCTTTACCAAAACTTTGCATGCATGAACGGGAGTTGCTGAATGAAGTCATTGTGCTGGGACCCTGTGTAGGAAGGCAAACTTTCCTTCCTTTCAAAACTCTGATAATTAACACCTAGGTCTTCATTTATAGATCAAACTCTTGTATTACTGCGAAAGGGAAACTCTCTCCTTAATCAGTCAAACTGTATCTGAGGTCACGTTATATGAAGAGATGAAGAGCATTACGGATTCCTTGTTTCCAGAGCAGTAAGAAATTCCAGAGGCAATCAATGACTCTGTCTTTTGAAAGGGAGCAAATCAGACGTGATCTGAAATGATTAAGAAGTCAGACCTGGTTATTTGTTGGATGGGAGACCGTCAGGAAAGTCCAGCGTTGTAATTTAGACTAGGAAGTCAAAAAGTCATCCTGGGAAAAGGTGCAAGAGAACTTTCACATGGTTGCCAAGAAATCCATTATGGACCTGTCCATACAGTCACCACTGGTCAAGCGCAACACAAAGATGACTTGATTAGTTTTGCAGAAGATACTTTGTACTTACTGCCAAATACTGATGTGGCTGCCTCTCTGGAAACTATGTGTAAGGCAGGTAACTATATTTTTTCTCTTTATTACCAGCATGCTTCCGAACATTAAATTTGACTGAATTTTGAATAAAACCAAGCTGATTGGGACAGTCGAGCAGGATTCCTGTAACAGACAGAATAGAAATGCAGCAGGACAATATAGATACAATGAACATGATGAAATGGGGAAGGAGAGAAGTAGCAGATTTTCTGACTGCAGCTTCAGCTTCAATTCACAGTCAAAGATTTTAGAAAAAACTGTCCAATCAAATGGATAATGTATAGTGAAGTAACATATCAGAAGATCATTCTCACATTTAGTGAGGCATTGTGTTCTCTGTATATGTCAATCAATCAATCAATCAATCAGAACAGACCTAAAAGAGACCTTGGAGGTCTTCTAGTCTAACCCCATACTCAAGCAGGAGACCCTATACCAATAATAGCTAACCTTTTTGCCATTGCGTGCCAAAAGTGAGGGGAGCAGGGGTGGGGGGTCACGCGTGTGTATGCCCACATCCATAATTCAATGCCCACCCTGCACCCCGCACCCCCATGAATGTGCGCGTGACCCCCTGCGCTCCCCCTTTTGGCATGCGATGGCACGGTGGGCCTGGTAGGCCCGTTTTTCACCCTCCCCACCCCCCGGAGGCCCTCCAGAGGCAGGAAATGGCCCATTTCCTGACTTTTGGTAGGCCTGTTTTTTGCTCTTCCCAGATTCCAGAGGCTTTCTAGGAGTCTGAGGAGGATGAAAACGGCTTTCCCCACCCCCTCGGAGGCCCTCCGGAGACAGGAAACAGCCCATTTCCCGACTTCCAGTGCTCCTGGAAGGCCCAAAAATCAGCTGGCTGGCACTTGCATGCACACTGGAGCTGAGCTAGGGCAACACTTGTGTGCCCACAGATATGGCTCCATGTACCACCTGTGGCATGTGTGCCATAGGTTCGCCATGACGGCCTTATACCATTTCAGACAAGTGGCTGTCCAGTCTTTTAAAGACTTCCAGTGATGAAGCACCCACAGCTTCTGAAGGCAAGCTGTTCTACTGGTTAATTGTTGTAAAGCCAGCTTTCCTTTATGGTATTCCAGACTGTCAATTGCATGTTATATTGATTGGAGACATTCAAATCAACAACTTCTGTACCTCAAGCAGAATCTTTCTGGCTGAAGCATGGACGTAAGTATGTAGAGTAGAACCATAGAATCGTATGGATGGGAGGGACCTTGGAGGTCTTTTAGTCTAACCTTCAACATAATTCAGCTCAAGGTACAATAGACTTAAGGCTCCTGATTGAACTCTGAAATATATCACACAAGTGAGAGTTAGCATTCAAATACCTTATTTATTTTTTTATCAATGAAGTCCTGCAGACTTTCTTTAGCTAGCTGAAATGACTGTCTGTGGCCATGTAGAATGCAAAGTAAAAGAAAATCCCTTAATTAGATAGCTGTACTAATTATTTTAGAACTATAAACAATACTATTTACAAATCTAAGATCACTAGCCAGGCTGTATTTTTCTGTAGTTGAGAATAGAGTGTGGTGGCCCTGAATTATGGTTTCTCTTTCAGAATAACATTAACTATGGCTTGATTATATCATGCTAGGCATTATTTTCCAGTGGGGTCTTTTTTTCGGGGAAACAGGGACACACACACAAATATATATCCATTTCCCCCAAAATAAGACTCAACCAGAAAATAAGCCCAAGCATGATTTTTCAGGATCGTAATATAAGCCGTACCCCAAAAATTAGCCCCAGCTAAGAGCATCAGCCAGATGGACTCATTTAGTACGACATTTCCCCGAAAATAAGACCTAACCAGAAAATAAACCCTAATGCATCTTTTGGAGCAAAAATTAATATAAGACCCGGTCTTATTTTCAGGGAAACACATGTGCATATATATTCAGCTTGAATTCTAATTCTTTTTAAAATACATCTTACTTGGAGAGGTTAACAAGGACAGGATTTTGAAAGTCCATATAACAAAGTTATACTTTAATTTGTATTGCATTTTAGCAGAATACGTATAATTAGTCCATTATTAAAATAGCCATGGGAATCACTGATATAAGGGAATAAAAGATACTTTCTACCAGTGGTGAAATCTAAAATTTGTTACTACTGATTCTGTGGGCTTGGCTTAGTGTGGGGGGGTAATGTGACTGGGTGGGCATGGCCAATTTTTTTTTTTACTTTTAAAACCATTTTTTATTTATTTATTTATTTTATTTTATTTTAATTTATTTTTATATGCCGCCCTTCTCTGGAGACTCAGGGCGGCTTACAATGTGTTAAGCAATAGCGTTCATACTTTTGTATATTTTATACAAAGTCAGCGTATTTCCCCCCGAAACCGGGTCCTCATTTTACCCACCTTAGAAAGGATGGAAGGCTGAATCGACCCTGAGCCTGGTGAGAATTGAACCAGGCAGCTGGATGTTAAATGCTGCCTTAGTGCATCAGCCTCCTACGCCACTTAGGCTCAGATTACATGTAAAACCATGTAAAAAAATGCTTTCAGAAGGCTCTGACGATCCCAGCTGAGTTGCTGATCATCAGAGGGTTTAAAAAACCCTCTGCCGATCAGGCAACTCAGCTGGGGTCGTCAGAGCTTGGATCATCAGAGCCATTTAAAAGGAAAAAAACTTCTTTTCTTTTAAATGGTTCTGACGATCCAAGCTAAATTGCCTGATCGGCAGGCAACTCAGCTGGGATTGTCAGAGCTTGGCTTGTCAGCGCTTGGCTCGTCAGAGGCATTTAAAAGAAAAAAAGCCTCTGATGATCACCCGGCTCAGCTGGACATGGGGGGCAGGGGCAGGGATTTTTGCTACCGGTTCTCCGAACTGCCCACCGCCATCGCTACCTACTCACCTGAGCCGGTCTGAACCGGGAGCATTTCACCCCTGCTTTCTACTCTGAGCATATCTTTATTTTCTTTTCCCTTTAACTTGGTGTGAGTTCAGGCAATATATCTGTTTTTGACCTCTATTGAAGATGAGAAATTGCAACTCAGTTTCCTACTGATTCAGATGATTTGAGCAAAAGTTGCTCATTAGAGGTTAACTGAGAGAGCGTAATAGATAGTATAGCATGAATAACAAAACCAGTCCCTGGTTTAATGAAAAGGCCTTGGTTGTGTGTGTGTGGTTTGTTGGCTTATGGTGACCATGAAGATAATGATCATGCTGTTACTTAAAATTCATTTACTACCCCTGGGAGTACTAGAAATGTAAGTTGTGTGTGCAGTGTGATGGCTGTGTCATATTCCTTTCTTAGTATCTGACTCATTTTCTCAGTTTACTTCAGTCAGTCCCTCTTTTGGGCCCCTCACCTCTCTAGGGCAGAACCACAGAGGGTTGGAACTGTAGTTCTCCCCTTATAGCCCTGGAGGCCATAAATCAGCCACAAAAAGAAACTTTTAGTGAAGTGCATGAATGTGGCTTTAAAAATAGTTCTAGCAAAACTAACCCAGTAAAATAAAAACTGGGGGGGAATGTCAGAAGTAGCTTTTCAAAGTGTGTATATGTGTGTATATAAATATCTCCACAGCCTACACATGCACAAACATGCACACAGACACACACACAGACACACACACAGACACACACAGACACACACACACAGGGGCACCCATAAGTGCCTTGTGGTATATAGGCATCTATACGATTAATTTCTAAGATTTTTTAAAAAAAATATGAATGCAAAAAGAAAAATAAATAAACCCAGCAATGTTATATGTGGTGGTATAAATCAAAATGTCTTCAGGATATAATATTATAAGAGCCATACAGCATAACACAAGGACACTATTTATCCCACTGTTGTATTCCCCAGTCTACAAAAATCAAGGATGGGTTTAGCACTCAGTTTGAAAAGAAAGTGGCTGCCTTACAAAAGGCTCAGCCTTGGGGTTCCTGATAGCAATGTTCCTAGAGATTGGGACCTATAGCAAGTCTTCCCTACTGGGATACATCATCAGGGGTGTCAAACCCATGGCCCGCGGGCTGGATACGTCACACACTGGCCATGCCCACTCCCGGTTTAGCAAAGGGGGGGGGAAGTCATGATATGTCACGTGACATTGCTGTGATGACACGAGTGTGACACCCCTGCATCAGATGGATAGATTCTCCCTGGAGTAAATAGCCTCACAGATACTATTCTAGGCAGTTTCAATGGTAATAAGTGTTTCCTTGAATGGCACCTAAAAGCCAATTGGCAATCAATGCAGCTGTCCAAGTAGACATGTAAAATGGATGAAATGCAATGTGTCTCTTACTTCTCAAACCTGTATATTCTGGGTCAGCTCTAGCTTCTGAGTGGTCCTGAGCACTAGTTCCCTGTAGTAGCTGTTCTAGCTGAAACACCATGTGACAATTGCTTAAGTGACTGCCAACAGAGTGGGTTTCTGTAAAGGTGCTGCTTATACGGTCTCTCCCTGCTCTTACAGTGGATGCTGTGAGTCCAGGAGGATCCCAATTTGCAGACATCTTCTGCACAGAGGAAAGGTAACCTTGGCCAAGGCCAAAAAGTCTACTGTAATCTATTGGCTGCTACACTCACAGTCTTTGCTGTGATGGAGACTAAGCTTCTTTTTACTTATCTAGACTTCTACAGTCATCAGACATTGAGATAGAGCCTTGATACATTTTTAGTTATAGTTAAAGTATGGGTGTATAGCTGTGTGTCACCACATATTAATAATGCTCTATCTTACATATTGGCAAAAAAAAAAAAAAAAAAATCAGAACATAAAATATAAGCTAGATGGACATGACCTTGTAGACGACCCTCACTCTGTCAAGGATCTTGGAGTACTCATCTCTAAAGATCTAAGTGCCAGAGCCGACTGTAACAATATTGCCAAAAAGGCATTAAGAGTTGTTAACCTAATCTTGTGTAAATTCAGAAGTGGTCTCCATGTGGAAACAAAAGTACTTATATTCTTTTCTTTAATCAAAATAGTCAATTATGCCATTTCAGCCAACTCCATCAACTTCTGCAACCATTTCTCCATGGTAGGAATCAAAGTGTCCTTCCATTTTTGTCCATACAATAGCCTTGCTGCTGTCAACATATATAGTAACAAAGTTCCATTTTTTTTCTCCAGGTCTTTTACCATTAGGCCCAAAAGGAAAAATTCTGGTTTGATCTTTATCTTCATTTTCAAAATTTTCTGTATTAAAATATGAGGCATACTCCAATTTATATATCATCTTATAGAAATTCTCTTTTACATTATAATTTAATGTAAATTTAACGTACTGATAACCATATCTGATAGCTACAGGTTTCATTTTGTTGCACTGTATCTTTTTTTGGGGAGGAGACTATAAATACCGTGTTTCCACGAAAATAAGACCCTGTCTTATATTTTTTTAAACCCTGAAATAAGCGCTTGGCCTTATTGCCATGGGCTCAAAAGCCTGATTGGGCTTATTATCAGGGAATGTTTTATTTTGGGGGAAACAGGGTACTTCAACTTCAACCTCTAGTGGTTATTCATGATCCAGGGAAAGAACAGGAAAAGGAAGATGGTCTGATGTCTGTCATACATCAACTTCTGTCCACAATCTAGATAAGAATGAAGTATATTGTGCAACATATAATTTGGTTGCTTGATCCTTATTTACTTGCATTTCCCACTTGGTTGAAGCTTCCAAGTATTTATAAATTATCTAGGAAAGCAGAGGAAATCAGGATTGTTTGCTTCTCAGTCTGACTCAGCTGTAACCTATGCTGGCACAGCACACAAAAATACAATCCAGCTGAAGCAGCAATTTTCTAATTGTTGCATCTTGTTTTATTGTTAAAAGGCCACTTTGAACATTGACCACGGGAAATGATTTAAATGAGGAGATATTTAATCATACAATTTTATTGAAATAGGATAGGGCTAGTTTAGAGAAAAGAAGGACTAGGGGTGACATGATAGCAGTATTCCAGTATTTGAGGGGCTGCCACAGAGAAGAGGGGGTCAACTTATTTTCCATAGCACCAAAAGAAGAAACAATGCATGAAAATTAATCAAGGAGAGAAGCAACCTGGAATTAAGGAGAAACTTCCTAACAGTGAGAACAATTAACCAGTGGGGCAGCTTGCCTTCAGAAGTTGTGGGTGCTTCATCACTGGAGATTTTTAAGAAGAGACTGGACAGTTGCTTGACTGAAATGGTATAGGGCAGGCGTCCTCAAACTTTTTAAACAGGGGGCCAATTCATGGTCTCTCAAACTGTTGGGCGGCCGGATCGGCTGG